ATAGCACATACCATATAAAATTGTGGTTTGAGTGAAACACACTAGCCACATTATATACTTTATTTGAAATATACCCCCAATTTCATAAAAGTCCTTAACTATGTGGCATTCTGAGCTGTTTTTTAATCAATATTAGTGCAAAGTTTTGAAAGTTATTAAAGAAAACCACAGCATCATTAGTCATTGGAAGTGCTTTTTCTTATTTGCTTCTTGAACTTTGCATGTTATTTCAACTTTGACTATTTCTTTGCTTGTTTTTTTGGAAGGCATTTTATGATGCCATGCAAGAGACACTAGAAAGGGATAGCTGACAAGGAAAAAATTAAAAATTGGATAAAAAGTAAATGAATAATGTCATATTACTAAAAAGATGAGAGGCTAATTTGTGCCGACTTTTTGCTAATTTTGTTCAAGCCTCAAAATGAGGAGCTGTCACCCGTTCTGTGTAGCACTGATGACAGTGCCAATGATCCATGAAATAAGCTGCCGCTGGCTTTGTTCTGATAAGAATGAACAAATCTGCACAATGTTCGGCTCCCAGAATCTCATTTTCATACTTGCATGCAGGCTAAAAGAAATAAGCTGTTTGCAGGCTTGATTAATCAGACATTGGAGGGGTTTTTGTCTCTTTGATCTCTTTCGTCTCCTAGGTAACTTGCTTGACATTAATGTTGAGCTTGAGTAAAGACAATCAGGAATTGTCGACCAAACTGATATAAAAATTAAAGACCTTAACACTTTAAGTACTCCAGTAATGGTTCCGCTTTACTTCAGAAAACATCTGTTTTCATTTAATTAAAGAACAAAAGAGAATGGCATAAATATTTTTCATAGAGACCTATTATTCTATAAAAAGTTAAAGTATGATAATTGGTATTTTTAAATAAGTGCCTTGAGAGTGTTCAAAAGGGAGGAAAACTTTATAAATCTGTTATAAGCTAGTAATTTTGAGATGAGTAAAATATTTTATGAAATGAATAAGAAATTTACAGTTATGCTAGATTAAGCTGTTTGAATCAGATGCTTCAAATGATTATCAGCAAACTTTATAATGACAAGATTTTGCAAGAAAAACTAACTTTATTTTGAAGTTTGTCTTTTAAAAATCTGTACTGGGTTACAAGGATGTGCCATTATATCTATTTTACAACCCAATATGATTTACACAGGCTAAACCTGTAAAATTGAAAGGAATTAAAAAAATGTCGCCGTGCATTTGCTTGAGGTTATGCAGACGCTTTTACAAATCTTCCAAGTGGCTGTAAAGATGAATGCCTCAAGGGTCCAGCCAGGGCCCTGCTTTTCCAACCAGCTAAAGCCCTTATCTTAAATCCAAGCAAAGTACCATTAATCTTTTTGAAAGACCTTTTATGGCTTTTAATATATCCCAAATTAGAACATTTTACACCCTTGGTTCCTGAAATATGGTGATAAAAAGCCTTTAGAGCTTAATTTTCCTTACTGCATGCTCTGACCAATTTGCAGTTCTTTGTGATAATGTTTAGACACCTTAATTAAAATGCAGCAAAATATTGGATGTTCTATATGGAAAATGCTGATACTTTGGCTACACATACAAAAAATTTTGTATGTATTTTTATTCATTTAAAAAAATTCTTCCCATATTGTGTTGCTGTAGTTATCTGATGACCTGAAACTGTTTTTTTAATATAAAAACCATTGACCAAGCTTTTGTGATGTTTACATTGGGCATGAAGATACAGTTTTCTTTTTATAGAAGCGAAAGAGGGATTCTTGTCGGCCTATTTTATTTGTTTGTAAAACTGAAACACAGCACGATATTCTTTTATATTCTGGAACTTGGGTTAGTCCTCTTGACTGGGAAATTGCGTTTCTTCTCAGCCTTCTCTTCCATAGAAGGTCTTATTATCCTTTTATAGTTTCAGATATTTCTGTCCTTTTTTCTTCACAGAAATAAGTCAAACACATTCATTTTAAGCATGTGAAGGACATAAAAAGGCTATGATTTTTCATCATTACAAGCTAAAAGATTTTTTTCTGTAAAGAATACGTAGACCAGGTTTGTTCAGTGTTTATCAGTTGAACATTTCACTTAACCTAACCTAAGATAAAATACAGTTAGAGAATATATGCCTTTTACAGGAACTGGTCTGTCTGCAAGTGTTGCCCATGTACCTAATTGTTTATTATATTTATTTAGTTCACAGAGTGGTGGAATAGTTGTTTAATGTGTTCTGATAAATTATTTCTAACCAGTTTATACTGTGTTAAGGAACATATGTTCTAAATCTGTACCGTGATGCTAGTTATGCTGGATTTGGTTTTAGCGTTGCTGGAACACTAAAAGCTTTTATATTCTTAGAGGACATGACCATGTCAAAGTGAAGAGTCAGTTGAAGTCAAACGATTGCATGTCCAGACCCCTGAGATGCTTTTTGGTTTGTCTGGCCTAAATCTAGGACAATCATATTGGGAAAATGTCAGCTATTTCTTAATTTTCAACAGCTTTAGAAAAAAAATTTCTCAATAGTTAATGGTTCATGGCAAGTATGGTTCAGAGCATTTTTGTTTCTTAAACTATAGGCTCAATTTAAATATAAGATAAACTAGCTGACTGGGTCTTTTTTTGGTGGGTGGGTTTGGCAAAACTATATTATATGTCAAGTTTTGATGTATGACACATAGGAATGATGTTAATGGAATAATATAGATTTTTATGTTTTACCTTTTGGGGATGGGGGATGGGAAAGAGACTAAATCATCTACATGAATGTGGAGAGACCTATGTATATCTTAAACTCAGGTAGCAAACTGTGTTTTACATCAGAAGACAGTTTATTGGGTGCATTTACTGCTCCCCTAGTATCCCATTGTATCTCCACATTTCTGAGCCCCCTTGCATTTAGGTAGAGCCATGTGAGTAGTTCTGACCAGTGGGCTGTGAGCAGAAATGTCTCACTTCTGGACTAAAGCATTTAAGAGCTAGTATGAGGCCCGTCAGCTCTTGCTCTGCCATAGTGAACCTGAAAGCCATATGTTGAGTTGCTGGCCCCTACAAGGTGGAGGAGAGCCCTGCCTATCCACAGGGACTTTAAGTGAAACAAGAAACAAAAGATCAGCCAGTGAGATTTGGCCATTTGTTTAATTTTGCAGTGTTGACTAGCCTAACTAGTTGACAGGTACTAACTTGATGCTTTACAAGTATGACAAATGGGATAGCTCTTCAGTAGATAGGAATTCCATCTTCATGATACATTTTGCCATAGCATCCTTTCAGACTTTCCTTTTCAACTGGGATGATTATGCTACAGACCTGTGAGTCATAGCCCCCCCCCCCTTTTTGGTTCATTTAGGTGACCTTTTCTATGATAAAGAACTGGAATTAAAAAGAGAACCAAAAGAACAGAGCCAGTATTGAAGTAGTCAAATGTAACTGACAACACCTTCCTCCCAGCCTCACAATTTGAAAACTCCCTGTTTTGCTTATTGCTATCTCTCCAGCACCTAGAACAGTCCCTGGCAAAGGCAGTTGTGCCTCCATAAAATTTGTTGAATGAATGTTATCCTGTAAAAAGGATGACAACCACAGTGCTGCTAATACTGGTTTGAGTTTTGAGAAGACACTGAGGTTGGTCTGTTTTACAATTAATCATTCTTTCTTCAGTGGCTTTCCTGTTAGTGTTGACCACCTTGGTGTCTTGGTTTGATTGTCAGCTTCCTTCCATTTGCTTATGTTCTTTAGATGTATTCTTTCCTGGACTGAAAAATCAGATCTACTTTTGCTTTCATTTATAAACTCAAGCCAGTGCTTGATTACTACTTGTCTATTTCACCCTAAAGGAAACTCTTCTCCAAGAAGCTGAAAGACATGTTGAGCATGTCAAACCTCCCTAAATTGGCTTCTTTCCTTACACATGTGCTGTTAACCTCCTGCCATGCAGATCCCTAAAACGTAGGCTTTAATACATAGACTTCAGAGTAGCTGCCAGGTCATTTCTTCTCTTCTACAAGTCTGCCTACTAATATGAATTAGGTTGAGTATAGGGATAGAAAAGGCAAGAAACACCACATAGAGATTTTTAGCCTTTGTTGTTTAACCTGAGTTCTTAGTGGATACTCTTGAGCCATCCAGTGGGTGAGCATTTTAAAAATAAGAGCACACTAAAACAAGACAATATCACTATGCCCATCCTGGAGATCCTTGCTGTGGAATAGCTCTGCAGCCAGAAAGCTGTGTAGAGCAGAGTGTGTAACTGTAAGGTCATGGCATAGAAGCTGAAGGGCTGGAGAAATACAGAAACAAGGATTGTTTTAGGTTGAGGTAGAGAACACTTCTGGGATGGGGATTTCATTTTGAATGGATTTCGTAGGACTGGCTTAAGGGTGAGGGGGTCACACAGAGGGCTCTGCACAAGGGACACCTAGGTACTCTGGTCCTGGTGCCTAGCTTTTTGCCTCTAAGCACCCCGATAATTCTTTTTTCTCTCAGTGAATTAAAAGCTATTGCCCATCATACAAAGTGCATTTATGAAGTAGTAATTAGTTTTGCCATGTTTTATTAATCACATCTATGACTGCCAATCAGAGCTTCTGATCAGCGTGAGATAACTGGTATGACCATACTGAGTTGCTATAATTCTAGCCCAGAGCAAAGAAACTTGATGTCTCTGTCAGTCTCTGCAGCCTTATCAGGCGTAAATTCCTGCTCAGCCTACTGCAATGCTAAAATAGCTTGAAGATCCTCATTACTACCTTTGTGGACCCTGGAGGGGCCTCTTTGGGAAGGATTTCTATCCAGGAGACTGGTATAACTAGGGTAAAGGATCTGTTGGGAGTTAAGGGAAATATGGGCCTATCTCTGTATTTGTTATATTTTGTCTGAGGGGGCCTAAGCATAGAATTTCTAACTTGTAGGCATAGCTTTCTTATCCACAGGTTCTCAATTATTTGTATTATTGTTACTATTGTATTTGCTGGAATTTTTATTTTCACCTTTTTTCTTTGTAATTCTTTCTTAGCTTGGTGTAAAAATTGCTAAAGCAATTGCCTGCCACAACTTCGTAAAAGCCAAAAAGGAGGCTGAAAATTCACAGGCTGCTCGAAAAAAGAAGAAACTTGCATGGGGGTAAGTTTACTTAATGTTTTTATTATTAATTCTACTGAGGTCTTACTAATTGCAAAAACCCTGCTAATATATCTTGTGAGTCCAGTTTGTGTGTAATTTTTATTCATTTTATCTTTGTGTCTTTGTTGAATGCTTGTCAGATTATAAATATAAAGGCATTTCCTCATCCTGTTTGATGTTTATTTTGTAATCATTGGAGTATGACAAATTTTCAAGTTTGTCTTACTTTGGTCTCTTAGTAAACATGTTACTTTAGCAAAGTATTTTTTAAAAAATACATTGAGTTTTTTTTGTTCTTCATTTTAGATTTGAAGCAAAGAAGAGATGGGAAACCAAAAGCAACATGGGATATATGTAACTTGTCAGAGTTCTTCAAGAGATTTGTAGACTCAAGTGCTCAATTTACTGAAAAGATTTTTCTGCTTATGTTAAATATGTCAGGAAATTGATAGAAGTAGAAAAAAATCAGCATAAAATTTAGAAGTTGATTATCAGCTCTTTTCAATCTTTCTCTAAGGAATTCATCCTATTGAAGTGAATAAAATGAAGCATTCTGTTATTTGTATGAAGAAATCTAAGAAAAAATATAGAAAAAAAGGATGGGATTTTATTTATTTGTATAGACCTACAGTATAAAATCAATTTTGCTTTTTATCCATTTGGTATAGCATAGCCAGTGAGCTCCTTGTACTTTTCTTATCTGTACTTGGTTTATAACTGCACTTTTACTGGAATTGTGTTTTTAAGATTGGCAAGTATTTATAATGGATTAGTCATAAGTGCAGAAACATCTCAATTGATACTGTCTATACAAATGATTTTAATTACTTTAATGTTATAAAAGTAATTATCGATTTTCTATTGGAGGCAATAGAATTGATATTTCAAAATTATATAGTAAAAGCAATTTTTGTGTAGATAAAATATTACAATAAAAAGGGGACAGAATGTAGTATTTGGAGGATGATTTAAATTGAGCTTTGCCTAGAAATATCTTCCTAAATATCTTTCTTGGCTATATCATTCTTTAATTTATGAGTTGGTTCTTAGAAGAGAAAATGGTATAATTGTATTCAACAGACAATTTAACTCAAGATACTATAACTTTGAACCTTCTAAGACCTCATTTGTTTTTACTCCTCTTTCCCACTACTCCTTAAAAGATGGAATGAATTAATAAGGAGAAAGGGAGGATTGGTACTCTACGAATTAATTTTTGTTAGATGTGTGTGCTTCATGGTCTTCTTTGGAAGGAGCATAGAGGAGTAACCTGACAAGCTGGTAGAGAAGACCAGAGTTGGATGTTTTAGCACCTCCCTACTCAGTGCTCAGTAGAAGTAGAGAACTACCTACTGTGGTTTTCATCACCTCCTTTCCTCATCCTTTGTTAGGGGTTTTCTAGCTGTCTGATGTAAACTTTCTCTGTGTTGATAATATAAATTCAGGAACATATAAAATGAGACATGATCATAATTATATTACTGTTATTTTTAGACTTAAAACAGTAACAAAATTTTATCAATTAAATGATAAAACACATTAAAACACAGAAAAAACACATTTAATGTTTTTTCTGTGTTCCGGAATAAGTGAATACCTGGTTGCTATTTAGGAGTCTAAAAATCATATGTTATTTCCATTTAATTGAGAAAGACAGCCTAGAGAAATCAAACTTTTAGGAGATTGTGTCTCATACTAATTCATTATGAAAAGGTATCCAGACCTCCAAGATAAGCTTGGAAAATCTTATATTTTATGATTTAAAATTCCCAGTTCCATTTTATGGATACAATCATGTACAGTTTACCTGCAATATCTACTTCCGACTGCTAGTAGGTAAATATAAACTTACAGGAACCTTTCCTGTCAAAGTCTTTTATTGAGAAATATCTACTATACTGTCCAGTGGTTTTGTCTGAAACATTAAAAATGTTATTTTTGAGCAGGTGAGTCCTATAGATATTCTCACCAGTGGGGCCCGACACAGGCATTTCCCTTGTGCCTCTACCTCATTTTTCTTTTCCCATATCCACTGCTTAGAGCGCCGAGTGACATACCTGCAGACACGTTTCGCTATTCATGCGGAGGCCTTCCAGAGTGGCCTCCTGTAGGGTCTGTAATGGGAGCCTGCCCTGCCACGGAAGCTCTTCTTCAGCCCACTCCAGTGCCAGGATTGCTTCTTCAGCACCTTACCCAGGGTTCTCATGTAGAGGAGAGATTTCAGTTGAGTGGAAGGCATTGTGGTGGAATCTGATGTAGCAGGGGACCCATTTGATAAGGGAGGATACGTCTCCTAAGTCCCCACTTTTGGGGGGTCATGGGTTGTGGAAAGCTATACAACATTATGACACAGCAGAAGAGAAGGGGTGGGAGCAAAGGATTTGGGGGAGAGGAAGGGGCAGGTTGTCTTGGGTTGGCCCTGCCAGCATATCATTTGAGACCAGTTTTATTTGATCAGCTTTAATGTGAATTAGACATTTTACTCATTAAAGCAATAAAATGGGAACATTATTCCTAGAGTACCTGTGTTGCCTAAAGGGTATAGTCATTTGTCCTCTGCGTTCTGGTCACGGGAAAATAAAGATTCTTTTTGGATCAGTAATAACTTCAGTTCCTGAAGCTTTAACATGTGCATTTACTACCACCAGAATGCCTGAATTAGATTAGTAATGTAAACGTCAGTTATTGTTAACTGAGATTAATATGTTTCAGGCCATCGGTATGGCATTAATGTAACTGTGATTTACTATTTAAGTACTTCAGGCTAAAACAACTTACTAAAGAACAGTAATTTTGAGCTTTACAGTACTGGTTTGGAGAAGTGAAGTTGGCAGTGCATTCTTGTTTGGTAGCCCTCAGGATATTTCTGATTTTCAGCAGAACATTCTATTTCTTTTACCAAAAGGAGAACTTGAATATATAATCTTAGGTTTGCTATAATTAGGTCTGATGACAGAGTTAAATACCTCCGCCAAGAGTATAAATCAGTACCTAAACAGGTTTCTGTAACTGATCATAAATCTTAAAACTCCATATTTTAAACACTTATTTTTTTAGGCAGACAGATAAGGGAGAGGGAGGAGCATGCCCAGGACAAGAACAAAATGTTATCTGAACTTTAAGTAACAGCTTAGAACCTCACATTTAAAATCTGATTTTTTTCTTTATATCTTTTATCTAAAATATTATCTTTTAGTTATTTTAATAACTTATAGTAACTTCAATAAGATACATTTTAATTCTGAAAATATGAAGATACAATCTAAATTTTTAGATGTTAGGTAAAGGTATATCTTGCAAACTGAAAAATACTGTACGAGGTTGACGTTTAAATAAAATGCAAATTGTGTGTTATTTTTTAAGAGATACTAGGGGAAGCAAGCTGATGTTATGTCAGATCCCATTTTGGAAAATTAACTTAGTGAAGCCTAGTAGTCAAATTCAGAACCCACTGAATTCAAGATTTTCCATGTTGGCAGAAGTCGCTTTTATTTTTAGTATCTGGCAGAGCAACAAATGCTTTGCATGTCAACTTAATATTTTTTCAAGCCAACTGTTTATTCATTGGCTTAAAATTTACACTCTACTAAAGTCTTAGCTCTGACTTTCATGAAACAAATAGAAATATTTGGACAAAATATGTACATTAAAATCTTTTTCCAAAACCAAATGTAGATTGGCATTTGTGGCATCAGTGCCTTCTAACATGGTAATGGTCTGAAAGTACTTTGAAAAGTCTAAGGCATTTTACACCCACAGCAATGCATTTCAAGTAATTTTTATTATAAAATAATCATAACATCTTTCTAGAATTGCAAATTTAAATGAGCCAGAGTCTTTATGCTAGAAAGTAGAGTATGTGCTAGAGTAAGTTTCAATGAACTATCGAGATATTTTTATTACTGTATATTTGTTCTTGACCTTTGTTGCATACTGAGACAATAAGGTCTATTTTTCATTTTTGAGGTTGGGGTACTCTGTAGATACTGATAAAATGAGCAGAAGTTCATTCTGTGGTCTTTATTATTGTAGCCTCCTTCCATACTACTCACCTTAAATGGAAAAAAAAAATGCACATTTCTTAGTGAATAGCTGGAATAAGCACAGAGACTCCCTGGGAGGGGATTCTTGCCTTCATTAAGGGACGGGGCAGCATGTGGCCGAGGATGATTGCCATGAGGAAACTTAGGAGTCGAACCGTTTTGCTGTAGTCTTAAAATTAAGTGTGTCTCCCCTTTAGCAGTATCTCCTACTCACTTATGAGTACTCTGGAGGTATGTGTTCACTTTGCTGGAATTTCTTTACATACAGTAGTACTGTCAGAGTAGCTTCTTGCCACATTGGCTTTTGTGATCTTAATCCCTGAAACACAATTATAGGCTTCTAGGGGTACAGTTTATTAAATGCCATGCAGTATGCAGTGTTTTCACATGTGCTTATAAAATCAAGAATTAGCTGAGGGATAATTATCTTTTTATTAGTATTGGTAACTTGTTTTTAGATTCAAGTAGAAAAAACATAAAATTTTTCTAAGAAAGATGGCATTTTTAAGAAAGTAAGTTTAAGTGCATGTATTTTATATCCAGACTAGGTTTCTTAAGGAAACACAGAATACAAAGGAATGAAAAGGGAAGGGAAGGTAGTGCCCTAGAGAGGCCTCGGCTCGTAAGTGGTCCTCTGCCAGGTTTCCCCTGTGCCTGCTCACTGGCACCGTCCTGGCAGCTCCAGCCCACACCTCCTCCTGGGCTCATGGGCTGCCTCCTGCTGAATTGCTGCAGGGGCCTGCTGTGTGACAGGTATGGAATGAGGTCATCTTTTTCCACCTCTAATTTCTGAAGGGTGTGTCTGTCCAGTTATTACTTGTTCACTGAACTTAAAGCTTTAGAAAGTAACAGCTACGGTACAAGCTGTAATTATTGATGTCTGTTTCATATTCATCTGTAAGTTTTGGCATTTGATCAAGAAGTTAATATATCACTTCATCTTCAGGCTGAATGCCTCAGCTGTAAAGGTTTTATTGTTTGATGGATAGCATATAATTATGACTGCCCAGAATAAAAAGTGTTCTCATTTGTAAGGTGGGTGATACTAGAAGTAATTGTGAACGTCACAGGGAATAGTGAAACAATGAAGCTTTGCGTTTGTTTTTCTTCTTGAGACAGGGTCTCTTTCTGTTGCCCTGGCTAGTGTGCAATGGTGTGATCACAGCTCACAGCAACCTCAACCTCCTGGGGATCATAGCTCACAGCAACCTCAACCTCAAGGGATCCTCCTGCCTCAGCCTTCTAAGTAGCTGGGACTACAGGCACATATCACTGCACTACACCAATTTAGTTTTTGTACAGATGGGGTCTCCCTATGTTGCTCAAGCTGGTATCAAACTCCTGGCCTCAAGTGGTCCCCCTACCTCAGTCTTCCATTGTTAGGATGACAGGCTTGAGCCACCGCGCCTGGCCAAAGTTTTCTTTGAATTTCTCCCTATGTAATTTAAGAGAAACATTTACTGAATAGCTACTATATGTCAGATACTAAACTAACTTGCAGATTCAAAGGTGGATCAGCACAGTCTAATGGGAAATATATATAAGCCACATTTTGGACAACTTGATTTTTAAGTGGGTTGTTAGAAAAATCAGTGACTTTTTCTTTGCTGAATATAAGGAAATAATCTACACGTAATAACCTAGACTTGAATTTTTTAGTTACCTGAGTATATATAGGATGTTGAATTTCCTAGCTGGGCAATTAGCTACAGGTACTCATTAACTTAGTGACTGATGCACACTTGCCTACATCAGAGTGGGTGGGATTGACACCCTGTCACCTTATTTCTTATGCTTACTCAACAGGTGAGGATCATTGTTGAGGTCTGACTCAGAAATGATTGTAATTATCTGTTCTGCACATTAGACTCAGTTATTTTAAGCTTAAAGTTTTCTTAGACTATATCAACATGTCCTTTATGTTAGAATGGCTGTGTCACAGTGCCTGCCCATGTGAGGGTAATGCTAGCTTCTGCAACAAATATGCCCTCCAAAATGACTTAAGCACAACAGAACTTTATCTCTGCTTATGGGACAAATGAGGATGTTGCTGTCATTGGGGGCTCCGTTCAGTGTGGTCACAGAGACTCAGGCTGACAGCAACCCTCTACTTTGTCTCCCTAGTAATCCTGGTGTCACTGTCTCAGTCACCTGGAAGGGAAAAGAGCATAAAAGAGCACTGGTGGGAAGTTACGGGCCTGGCCTAGAAGTGGCACTCATTCTAGCACTGGCTGCAGTTTCGTTATACTTCACCTCACCTGACTGCCAGGTAGGCTGGGAAATTTAGACTGGCTTTTTCCCAGGAAGAAAAGGAAATATAATAAATAGCTGTAGTATCTGCCACTTTGCCGGAATCACATATGACCTTGAAGTGGTGACTAAGTTTTGCTGATGTTAAATAGCACAAACTGCTCTTTGTGATGAGATGTAGTCATTCGTACTTGGATGTGTTGACAGAGCTGAGTCAAAATAGCCATGCTTGTAACCACGTAGTGTGCATGATGCTTGCTGAAGTATATTATGTGCTCAGTGAGGCAGAAGTGGTGCTTAGTGTAAGTCACAAACCGCTACTGGGACTTCACCAGGTAGATGAATTGAAGCAAGAGCATCCCAGGCAGAAGGAGCAGCATGACACAAGGAGGTACAGCAGGGACTTAGCATGGGGCTGCAGGGTGTGAGAACAGGGAAGTGGGGCAGCAGAAAGATGATGCTGAAGAAAGTTGGCTGGAACCAGCTCACACAGCTTTGGAAGACACGCTGGAGAGTTTGCACTTGTATGGGGAGGGGTTGGGTGCCTATGGGTGGTGACATGGGAGGAGGAAGGTAGGAGAGCAGGTGTTTGAATAAGAGTAATGTCATTAGTAGTCAAGTCATATCAAATTCGACATTTAGTAACTAGTAATTTAGTTCATATTTAGACTTGTGTCAAGGTACCCATGGAATGTCCTGGAAATGTCAAATCAACAGTTGTATGCAGAAATCTGGAGGTCAGAAGAGAGGGTTGTTGCAGAAGTCAGGTTGAGGAAAAAGGTTTTAAAAGGTGGCATGTCAACAGCAACAAGCACCTCTGAGCTGTCAAGCAAGATAATGGTGGTGAGGTGACTGTTAGAGTTAGCAGTTAGCCTCAGGTGCCACAGTGGTCATGGCCAAATCAAACAGCCAAGCCAGGATCACAATCAGTGATGCCTTAGGTCGGGTTTCCTAGAAGCAGTGCCTCAGATCTCTCGCGAAGGTGATCTATAAAGGTGTACGCTTTATGTGCCTGTAAGGGAGAGAGCAAAGCCGAAGAGGAAGGGAAATAGTTGAGCAGGGTAAAGCCTTGGCCTGGTGTGCAGGGGGAAGGCCCTGTGAACCCCTCTTGTGGCAAGGGAGCTGGCCTATAACCTGGCGTCAGTCAGTCAGTACCCAGGGTGCTGACCAGCTTTTTACAAGGATGAAAGGATGGATGGGTGGATGGATATATCTGTACATACCTGGTCTTTTCAGTTAAAATGTTTGAAGTCTTGTCTTAATGTCCTTAATAAATATTCATTACTGACTGAGAATATAAGCCTTGGAACTACTGTTCTACTGTAAATTTTTTTAAACACTTAGGATTTATTATTATATATGCTCCTTGCCTTAAAGAGACACTTTAGTTTTACATACATTTTAGTTCTATATGGATATAAATGTCTAGCAGATTAAAAAGCTAAAATTCTTTTGTTACTTTTTCCGTGCAATGCTGTTCCATCCCTCTAAGGAAGCCAAACACACATGCTTGTTTTATAGATGAGAAAACCAAGGTGCCGAAAAGCTTAAGGGAGAACTCTGCAGCCGGCCGTTTGGAAAAGGGCTGGGATTAGAACCCAGGCCAGTGATTTTTGCCTCCTCCCTCTCTTCCAGTGATTCTTAAAGTGTGACTCATGCCCACCTGCCAGCAGAATCACTCTAGGGTCCCTCTTTGGGAGCAGAGCCTGGGATTCTGCATTTTAAAAAGCTACTCTGTGATTAGTGCATACTAACAAAGACTCATTGTCTTGGAGCAGGCCCTCCTTCCTACATGGGGAATCTGGATTGGGAAAGAGGAAAACAAGCCAATGAAACGTGCACATGTCTTATCACAAACCGTGGGGTGGAAAGCTATACCATGTAGTATAAATTCTGAGTAATTCCATTAATATAAATGCCCATATCCCCAAACAGGTTGGTTTTACTCAGTGTACCACTTCCGTTTTCAAAAAAAGAATGGAAAAGAGAGGTTCCGTGTCAAAGAAAATTGGAATCCTCACTTGTTACTTGCTTCCTTGCCAGCAGTGCTGAAAAAGAAAAAAAAAAATCCAAAGTCCATGTACATAAAAGTTCCATTCCCGATGGTAGAGGGCTTAATTAAATCCTCAGATGTTTCTATGCACCTTGGAAAGCATTTTTATGAAATTCATGTATTACTAGAAGTGGCTCCAACAATCTTGCAGTCAAAAACCTTGTGAATTGTGTGGCTCCATCAGGGGCAAGCTGCCTTTTCAAGATTCAGTGTCCTGGACCCTTTACCTCTGCTGTCTCCAACCCCCAGGCCCAGTACGTGGCCTGTTAGGAACCTGCTGTGCATCACCACCTGAGTTCTGCCTAACCCATCCCCATCCTCCTACCCCAGTGGAAAAATGGTCTTCTGTGAAACTACTTAGGAACCAGGCCGCACAGTGGGAAGGTGAGCGGCAGACAAGGAAGGAAGCCTCATCTGTATTTACAGCCATTCCCGACGCCCCCATCACCGCCTGAGCTCCGCCCCCTCTCCCCTCCCCACCTGCATCCGTGGAAAAATCATCTTTCATGAAACCCATCCCTGCTGCCCAAAAGGTTGTGGACCGTTGGTTTACCTTTAGCCTATGGCAGTGGGGACTGCTTAAGGGCCTTCAACTGCCAGGATGGCACTAGATGATTTTCCAAAGTTAAGGTCAGATAACAGAATCTGGATGAAATGGATCCTGTGCCCCCATTTCCTTTCCTCATTCTTTCCATAAATATGTATTGAGGGTTTTGATGTGTCCGGCACCATAGCACACACTGAGGATGCTGCACTGAACAAAACAAAAATCCTGACCTTCATGGAGCTCATATTCTAGAGGGGAAGACAGATAATAAACTCTAACATCACAGTGGTCTCCAAAGCAAGGTCCAGATCAGCAGCACCAACAGCACCCAAGAAATGTAGAAATGCAAGTTCTCGGGCTCCAGGCCAGACCTGAGCCAGTAACTGTTGTAACAGGACCTACAGGGGTTCTGATGCACACTAGAGTTTGAGAAACACTGGACTATCGGATGGTGATAAGCTATGGAGAAAGAGAGGGCCCAGAAGGATATGTGGCTGACAGCAATGTTAAAATAGTGAAGTTGCTGCACATTGGACAATGGAGCAACCCAGATTCCGATTCCAGCTCTGCCACTTACGAGGTGTGTAACCTCAGGCAGGTTATACTTAATCTCTCTGTACCTTGCATGAAAAATGGAGATAATAATAGTACCTATCTGATAGGGATGTGGGGATTAAAGGAAATAATGAATATGAAAGTGCTTAGAATAGATCCTGACATGTAGCAAACAATATACTTGTTGGGAAAAAATTCTTGCATTTCTGCACGTCTTAAAAGCAAGGCGCTAGGTACCTTTTTGATCCAAACTGTCTTTGCAAGGATGTTTGTATATAAGCAACCTTGGAAGATTGAGATAGTGTCTCACTCTAGAGCAAAGAACAGCCATGCTTACTTAAACGAAAGATTTGGTTCCATAAACTCAAGAGATACTCTAATGAAAGCCATGAAGTGTACATGTGTCATTTGTCTCTCTTAGTGTCACACTGTAGGAATCAGTGCAAAAATGCTGATAGCTACTTCTATTACTATGAGTTATAAGCTGTCTTTTGCCTCTGACCCAAGAGCCAAGTGTCTTCTATCAACATCCATGAAACAGTGGCAGACTAACTTGCTAACTTGCAAGGAGGGTGAAATCTCAGTCTCTTCATGGCTCTTGATGACTGTGTAAGTGTGTAAGCGTCTGT